CCCTGCGGGGCTCCGTACACCTGCAAACATCCAGAACGTCTCCTTTCATAGAAAACAAATTAATCAAGTGCATTTGTACATTCACTGATTTTGAGACCAGACTATCTCAAGTCCTGTTAAGACTGTTGAATGAAAAATCAGCTGGTAACAGTTAATTTTTGTCAGTTGCATTCGCAGACATGGCTGTCTCGTAAATTATGCAAATGCACTGAAGCACAAGATTCCTTCTAATGGAGAAGTTATTTCAAAAAGACTATAAAAAGGCCAACAACAACAACAACAACAACACTTTTCCTTTACTTATTAGCAAAGGAAGTATTGTAGAATAGTGAAATAGATCGTAAAATTACAATAAATATATCTTTAAATATTTAAATCACCCGCAAATGATAGATAGTAGTAGGGGAAAAGTGAGACTGAGCCACATCCTGAGACTGAGCCCACGGGTTTACTTTTAAAGTCACGAACAGCTCACGCACGCAGGCAGCAGTTGAATAAATCTGTGGCTTCTATGTTTTTAAACACTTATTTTTTTGCGTGTTGTGGAAAAAACTGACTCTGATAAAATGATGCCCTTCAGTGTGGGGTCTAACTAACGTCAGAGGAGTTTCCTGTGGGGAGACTTCACGATAACTGACTTTCCATGATCGAGGTGAAATATTCATGTACAGTCAGCTGTGCAGCGTTTGTTTTCCATTTTTAAAGGCATGGGAAAGACTCTGAGATAAACAGAAAACAAGATGAACTTCAACAACGATTAACAGACGGATGGAAACATTTAAAGGAAACATTGGTGACGTTTAAAGCAAAACTGATTTTGTGCAGACGCGGTGATGAGACCAAAGTATTTTCCTCTTTTGAATGGAACTCAAAACACAGTGAAAATATGTACAAAATGTAAACATATATAGCATATTAAACTATTTTTAACTGGTTTTGCCATTAACTTTGTGTTTTCCTTTTCTCAGCAAACAACTTTTTCTTGAAATCCTGTAAAATAAAGTGCACAGTGAAGGACTGATTTGAGTCTCATTCACTCAGTTGCACTTTTTATATGAGTGCTTTTATTTGACTTCACTCATGCTGGTCACACACTGGCCCAGAAGCTTTCACCACGCTACTTTGACATATAGACTGGAGGTGCCGGGGACTGAACCACTGACCTTCCTAGTGGGAGCCGCCCCACTCTGAGCCCCAGCCGCCAATATAGCTCCTCAGCGATTACTAATAGGTCCTCTGTTTTTTAACATGACGTATTTTCTTTCTCGTTATAGTTTGTAGTGAGATTTTTGATAAGCAAAACACGATCTGTTTAACACTTTGTTAGCAGGTGGCTAGCAGCAATGCGCTGTTTACCACTATCAGCTGGTACAGGTTTCAGCCGCCTG